TATTGATTTTTCACTGTGAAAAATAAGAATTTAGCTTTTCCATATTTCCTTTAAAATGTGTCATTATAAAGTATATCATACATACAAGAGCTTGTCTAAAACTTCCATAACCTGTTAAAAATCAAATTAACACTCTTTTCCCCACTGTTTAGCTTAAGAACAAGAACATAAGGCTGCCCGAGAGGTCTGTATGTGCCCCTCAATTGCGCAGCCTTCCCTTCCCCAGAGGCAACCACTGATCCATGCTAACAATTTCCTTCCTTTGCCTTCTAATTACCATGTGTGTAGACATTCCTAAACAATACATTGTTTCGTCTTGCCCGTCCGTGAACGTATATAAATGGGAATAAACAGTGCATGTTCTGATTTTGCTTCTTTTACTCAACATTCCAGTTTTGAGGGTCATCCCCTGGGTGCATGTAGCTGCAGCGCGTTCATTTTCTCGACTCTGTTGCCTTCTGTGTGAATACAACCATATCTCCATTTATCTAATCTCGTACATTTATCTCGCTGCACATGCACGAGAGTTTCTGCAGGCTGTATAGCTGGGAGTGGAATTGTCAGGGCAGAGGGTGTGCAGTACATTTTCAACTTTACTAGGTGACAACTGTTTTCCAAAATGATTTCATCAATTCAAAGCTCCACCAGGGGTGAGTGAGAAATTCTGTTGCCCCCCATCCTTGCCAACACTGGGTATTGACTGACTCACTTCACTTCTGCCCATTTGGTGGTGTGATATGGTAATTTCATTGTGGTTTTGGCTTGCTGTTCCCTGATTACTCATTACTAATTTTCATATGTTTACAGATCATTTGCGAGTCCTCTTCTGTGAAATGGCCTTTCATGTTTTTTGCCCATTAAAAAAAATTAATTCACAGATGTTGTTTATAAATCATGGATATTAATTGTTTACCAGTTTTACGTGTTGTAAATAAGTCTTCTCAGTTTGAGGTCTGCTTTCTAATCTCTGTCAAGGGTCTTAAGAACAAAAAGTTCTTAATTTTAATGTAATTAGTTTGTCCATCTTTCCCTTTATGGAAGTCTTTATTTTTTTTTTCTTTTTGTGTCTTATTTAGAAAAATTATTCCCTATCCAAATGTCATAAAAAATATTCTCTATATTGTCTTCTAAGTGTTTTATAGTTTTGCCTTTTACATTTAAATATTGTAATCTACCTGGAATTGATTTTTTTTCTTTTTTTCTTTTCTATCTTTCTTTATTTTGAGGAAGATTAGCCCTGAGCTAACATCTGCTGCCAATCCTCCTCTTTTTTTGCTGAGGAAGACTGGCCTTGAGCTAACATCCATGCCCATCTTCCTCTACTTTATATGTGGGACGCCTATCACAGCATGGCTCGACAAGTGGTGTGTAGGTCTGCACCCAGGATCCGAACCGGCGAACCCCACACCACCAAAGCAGAACATGCGAACTTAACCGCTACACCGCTGGGCTGGCCCCTGGAATTGATTTTTGTATGTGGCATGATAGGGATTTGGTTCCATTTTTCCCAAGTAGATCTACGATTGTCTCAGCGACATTTATTACTTATTCTATCTGTTCCACAATGATCCACTGTGCCAAGTCTGCAAAAAGTAAAGTCTCCAAATGTGCTTGGCTTTGTTTCTGTGCTGTGTTCTATTGATCTATGTGTGCCAAGACTATGCTGTCTCCATAACTATAGCTTTATGTGTTTTAATGTCTGGTATACAAAGTTCTCCCACTTTGTTCCTCTTCAGGATTGTGTTGACTCTTCTTAGGATCTTTGTTTTTTTCATGTACATTTTTATCAGCTTGTGAAGTTTTGTGGGACTCTTGGCCTTTTGACTAGAATTACATCGAATCTCTAGATCTATTTGGGGAGAATGGATAATTTTATCACTTTGAGTTTTCTTATCCAAAAATATAGTGTATCTTTAGATTTATTTAGAAACTTAGCATTTTTCAATCAAGTTTTATGATTGTCTCCAGGAAGGGTTGCATAGTTTTTGTTAGAATTATTCCCGAATATTTTTATATGTTACATATTCTTGGGAAATTGAAAGTAGTATCATTATTTAGTGACCTTCTTATTTCTGATAATGCTTTTTGCCTTAAAGTTTATTTTATCTTATATTAATAAATGCACAGATGCTTTCTTCCACTTAGCATTTACCTGGAATATCTTTTTTCCATCTTTGACTTTTAGTTTCCCTTTGCTCTTATGCTTTGAGAATGCCTATTGTGAATACATATAGCTAGGTTTAAAAAAAATCTATTCTGATCATTTTTGTCTTCCACTGGAGAGAGAAAACCATTTACATTTAGTACAATCAAAAATATGTTAGTGAGTTTCTTCTTTTTACGTCCTATTTGTCCTCCTTTTAAAAATTCCTTTGTTCACCTTCTTTTCTTACTTCTTTTGCTTCATTTTTCCCACCTTTTCTCATTTCATCTCCACCTTTTCTACCTGTTTGGAGATTATATAGCTCTATGCTTAGTCTTTTAGTTGTTATTTAAGCAATTTGAACATTGCATACTTACCAAAGTCTAGAAAATTATCAAAATCTCTTCTTTCTCCCAACAATTCCAAGACCTTGAAACACTAACTCTGATTTCCCACTTGCAGCTGATATGCTATTATTGTCCAGGATTTTAAAATCTTGGTGTTAGTTAGGTGATCTGTGGAAAAATATCCCCTGAGAATTCATAACCATAAGTGAGCCCCTACCTGAGTTTGTGGTCTAAATTTATGCTAACCATACAATCCAAAAAAACTCAAGTAAATAATTTAATTTAGAGTGGTCTCAGGTTGGTAGGGCCCCCCCAGGCAATTCACAAAAGTAAATGCAAATCCTCTCAGGAGGAATTCAACTTCAATCCAGGCCTCGAAGGATTTCCACCGATAAAGGTTCAAAGAAAATGACTGGCTCATAGATAAATGGCACAAGAAAACAATGCACCATGAATCAAAACCATAAGAAACAAAATGCAGCAGAAATAGACTTACAAAATCTTCAGATGTTGCAATTATCTGACACAGAATATAAACTGTGTTTTATAAGTTTAAGGAAACAAACAAGGAGTTCTAAAATACATAAGAAATACAAATCATTTGGGCTTGACAAAAGAATCAAATGGACTTTCTAAAAATGAAAAATGAACACCATATTGCATTGACTAAAAAACACAATTGATAATAAGATGTACCATAATTTTATGTACCATCAAAAACACTGCCAATTATCATTGCAAGATGCCACTGATTAAAAGATGTACCCTGATTTCAGAGGTGTTAAAATGTGGGAAAAAAATTGTTTCAAAGTCCATGAACTGTAGAAATAGAAATTTACAATTTAGCAGATTGATTAAAGTACAGATTAAACTCAGCTGATGAGAGAATCAGTTAACTGGAATAAAGAAACAAATATTTGATACAAGTAAATTATCCGGAATGCAGCCTAGAGAGATAATGAAATGGAAATATAACAGAATGATTAAAAGTCTTGGAGGACAGAAGAAGACCTAACATATCTAATCAAAGTTCCAGGGGAAAGTAATAGGAAGAATGGAAAAGAGGCAATGTTTAAAAATATAATGACTGAGAAATTTGTGAAAATAGTGGAAAGAGAGCTACCTCCAGATACTGGAATCTAAATGACTCCCAAGCAGGGTGAACCAAAAGAAATTTATGCCCAGATGCATTGTGGTGTATGGTGGTGAAGATAAAATGGCAGGACATCAAAAGACAAACAGAAGATCTTCAAAGCAACTAATTGATTACCTTTTAACAGCAAATGGAGGCCAGAAGACCGTGGGAGAGTGTTTTCAGTGTGCTGAGAGAAAAACAATAATCAACCTAGAATTCAAACCCAGTAAGACTCTTTCAAGAATGAAAGTAAAATAAAGAATTTTCAAGCAAATACAAACAGAGAACTTTGCCAAAGGAAAGTTTTAAAAGATATACTTCAAGCAGGACAATGATCTTAGATACGAGATGTATTCTTCCAGGTGAAAGATGGAGAACTCTCGAGTTCGGAGGACTCTTCAGGAGAAAATGTGATTACCTCTCAGGCGTCTGGCTTTTGCTTCTTTGTGGGATCTGTAGATTCTTACTTTCATGCTGACACAGCAATATATTTAAAAAGCTGTTATTAAAAATATTTTATCCAGGGCTGGCCTGGTGGTGTAGTGGTTAAGTTCGAGTGCTCTGCTTTGGCATCTTGAGGTTCACAGGTTTGGATTGCAGGCATGGATCTAGCACTGCTCGTTAGGCCATGCTGTGGCGGCATCCCACATAAAATAGAGGAAGATTGGCACAGGTGTTAGCTCAGTGACAATCTTCCTCACCAAAAAAAAAAAAAAAAAAAGTTTATCCAGCATTTTAGTTGTTTCCTTTGGGCAGAATTGTCTAGCTGTCTAATCCACTCACCTGCAGGAGATAAAAGTCCTCCAAGAAAATTCTTCAGGGAAACTCTTGTCTCTTCAGTCTGTGTGGAGTCCATGTTACCTGTCCTCATGGCACATGGCACCTTCCCCTTGTAGCACATACACTAGCTATATTTTTATATTTATTTGTATGCTCTTTGAATTAATTGTTTACTTTCCCCATTAGAAATCTAAGGGCCAAGTCTGTATGGCTCTCTATTTTATTCCCAGGCCTTAGCAAGTGTCTGGCACATAGTAGGTATTCGATGGACATTTATTGAATAAATGATTAGATGAGTAAACAGTTTTGAGTGAGAAGTCAACATTAGGTATTAAGTCAGGTACAGCTGTGTGTCTCTGCTTCCGATCCAGCCATTGGAGGGAGTCTCTAGGGCAAGTGAATTCCCATAGAATCATGCAGCCAACAGGATAGCCATTACCACATGAGCCTGTTTAAATTAATTAAAATTAAATAAAATGAAAAATTCAATTCCTTAGTCTCACTAGTCACATTTCAAGTGGCTAGCGGCTCTCCCACTGGACACTGTGGACATAGAACATTTCCATTATCACAGAAAGTTCTATTGGAAGTGCTACCATAGAATTCTCAAAAATTCTTAACTGCTCCTCTCTCTTTCTCTTTCTTTCTCTTTTGCTCTGCTTTTGCTCTCGCTCTCTCTCTCTCTCTCCTCCACCCCTAAACCAAGGACAGGAATAGTTGTCTTATTATTAGTGACTTAAAATGATGCTTTTGAACGAGAAGATGCTGGGTACTTTTGGTGACTAGCACCATCTGCACTTTTTTTTCTTTTAAATTCCTGAGCTATTGTTTACTAATGCGTTCTTTTATTCCTGTTTCTACTAAAGCTGAATGTTACTTGGGTGGAAAACCTAATTGCTTTCTTTTCTAGGTCCCTAAACCCTTTGCTAATGTTTCTGTCTGAGAGTTCCCAAAGCCAGGGTTCTAGGAGAGTGTGGCACAGCTCGACAGCTGAACCACGAGATAATGGAGTAGGTCCAGTGGGGTGTGGGAGCAAGGCATTCTGTCAATAAAAGAGCTCCCCTCTCTGCACACATGGCCAGTTAATTGGCCGTTCTGGGAAAGGACGGATGGGGAGGGGGGCTTCTGAGAATCGCCGGTGACAGTTAAGCGGCCTTTTGTTGATGTCCTCTGCCGAACAATTTTGTTGGATTTAGTCTCTGCCTTTCCTCCACCTCCTGCGGATTTTCTGTTAGATTCATCATTTACCATTCAGGCATCATCTTTCACTTTCTCCTTCCAATATGACTGCTTTGTGTGCTGGCCTCTGCTTTATTCCTACTATTCTCAGACCATAAAGGGGGCCATGTGGGGCTTCAGCGGGACTGAGAAATTGGCTCTCCTCTCTGTTGAGAACCATAATAATGGCGGCAGTGACCTTCATGTCTGGCAGAAAACGCACTACCTATCCTAGCATAATGGTGACCCCCTGCAGATAGAGAAAAGGGAATCTTCACTGAATTCCTTCTCATACAATACATATTTCCTTTGTTCCCCTCTCCATTCTCTTCTCTTCCCGTTCTCCCCATTGCAACTGGAGTACTGACCCAAGATGCGGCTATGACTAAGAATTAATGCTTTGAAATAATAATGTTACATTTTTCAGGCTTTGCTAAGCCAGTTCCTCAGATTGTCTCCTCTAATACCATCCCCTCTAAACCCTGTGAAGTAGGGCCAGGAGGTGTTATTAACCCCATTTGGCTGATGAGTAAACCGAGACTTAGAGAGAGTAGGTGAATTGTCCTGGATCTTTTAGACACGAAGCGAGCACCAGCTGTCTCTCTCTAAACCCTGCATTCTTTCAATGGTGTCCACACCCTTATGCATAAGGAGGCTGTGGCCCAGGGAAAGTGTGAGTGGATGGGGAGGCAGAAGGAAGTGAAAGAAAAGAATTAAATGAGGAGGGAGGAAAGGAGTGGTGTCCTTGGGCCTCTAGCTGCTTTCATCTTTCCCGAGAGATAGAGGGTTCGATGTTCACAAGAGGTTGGCCCAGCACACCTCCAGGGGGCACAGAAAGCTAAGGGCCTTGTCTTCCTCTTTCCCCCTTCCCTCTCCCCTTCCCGGGAGAGGATTTGCCTGGAAGTGGAGAGGGGCAGCCCTGGCTCTCCCAAGGCCTGGTATGTGCGAGTCATACGCTGGGTCTCCCCAGAGACAGCCTAACACCCATTCTCAGGCCGGGCCTGCCGGCCTTTAGGTGCTGTGCTGTCCTGAGGCCTGGGCCATGCCTGTGCGTGAGGAAAGCCCCTGAAGCTCGCCTGGAGGAAGAAGCATGCAGGGCACCCACGGAGGAGGCGTGGGCCCTGGGCTGTCCCCTGTGGACAAGCGGACGCTTCTGGTCTGCAGCTTTATCCTGGCAGCAGCTTTGGGCCAAATGAATTTCACAGGGTGAGTGACAGCTCCCTAGTGGGAGGGAGGGACCACTAGTGCCAAGAGCTAGGGGACCAGGTGTCCAAGTGGGGTCTGTCCTGCTGAGACCTAATCAAGGCAGAGGGAGTCAGAATTTCGGTTCCCACCCTGAACCCACTTCCAGTTCCATAATCTCCCACTCTCTTGCTCAAAGGCAGGGCACAAAGCTGTAGGATTCTCCCTTCCCAAATCCAGAGTTGTAATCTGGGGTCTTTGGGTAAGCTTTCAAGGCTCGAAGAATCCTCTGAAATCATATGTAAAGTTTTTTGTGTATCTACCTTTTTTTTCTGGGGGAAGTGTTCATAACTTTCCTTTGATTCTTAAAGAAGTTAGTAACCCCCAAAATACTGTGTACCCCTACCATAAGTATGTGGTATTGTCCTCCTTTGAATAACAATGAGCACTAATATAAATAACATATAGTATACTATACTTTTTGTGTGTGTGTGTGAGGAAGATTGTCCCTGAGCTAACATCTGTGTCAATCTTGCTCTATTTTCTGTGGGACACCACCACAGCATGGCTTGATGAGCGGGGCTAGGTCCCTGCCTAGCACCAAACCTATGAACCCCGGGCTGCCAAAGCAGAGCACGCAAACTTAACCACTATGCCACCAGGCCAGCCCCCACTATTTTTTATATATACATACAAATAATATAGTATAATAAGCAGTAGCAGCCTGGTGGCCTAGTGGTTAAGATTCAGTGCTCTCACTGCCACAATCTGGGTTCAGGTTGGTTTCCCGGTCAGGGAACCACACCACCCATCCTCTGTTGTCATACTGTGGCGGCTATGTGTTGCTGTGATGCTGAAAGCTATGCCAATGGTATTTCAAACACCAGCAAGGTCACCCATGGAGGAGAGGTTTACAGTGGGGTTTCCAGACTAAGATAGTCTAGGAAGAAGGACCTGGCCACCCACTTCTAGAAAAGTTGGCCATGAAAATCCTATGAATAGCCTCAGAGCATTGTCTGATACAGCACTGGAAGGTGAGAGGATGCTGTAAAAAGACCAGGCAGGGTTCTGCTCTGTTGTTCACAAGGTCACTTAGGAGTCAGTATCGACCCCAAGGCACTAACAACCACCACTAGTATTATACACCAGGCCCTCTATGGACATGATTTCTCAGTCTCCCAAAGCCCCCGCAAGGTAACTGCTCCATAGTAGAGAAGAGGAAACACAAGCTTAGGGAGGGGGCCCATTGTCCACAGTATCAGAGCCAGTCTGGGAGGGAGCCAATGCCATCCCAGGCATCAGGCCCCAGGGTGACACTGAAGGCTGCTCAGTTATACCTCCTCCCACCCCATCCAGTGGGCTGGGAAGGAGTGAGACAGGGGTGCCCTATAGGGTAGGGTGGGGCTGATCTCTCCTTCCATGTCCTCAGGCTCTTGAATGAAGGCAAGGAGAGGGCACCAGGTTTGGACAGACCATGGCCTTGGGCCCTTATTTGAAGAGTACTTGGGGCCACTGTTGGACCCTCGGCCCCCCTGTATCTATTCCTTTCTCCCCTTCCCTCCTCCATCCCCGCATTCCTTTCCCATCTCTCTTCCCCCGTCTTGGCATTGTGTTAGTCAGTAACACTGACCGGCTTTATTTAGTCTCCTGGGTGGTCCGTCCTTGGGGCTGGAGAGACAGCCGGCCCCAGGCTGAAGGACTTGCCTGCTTCCCAGAGCTACAAATCCTTCTGCTCAGGGGTCCTCCAGCCTCCTGGTGACAGGGTGCCTCCAGCCTTCTGCCAGGTTCCCTCAGCCTGGTCTCTTCTCCTCTCTGCCTCCTCCAAGCAGCACAGCCTTCCAGGAGACCCTCTCAGTAGCTCCCTCTGCTCCTCCCCGTGTCTTTGCAGAGACCAGGTTCTTCGAGTCTTGGCCAAAAATGAGAAGGAGCTTTCACTTCTCAAGGAGCTGGAAGGCCTGAAGCCCCAGAAGGTGAGGACTCCTCAGGGCTCGGGGACACGTTCTCCCTCCCTCACAGCGGCTTGTACTTTTGGCTCCCTGTCCTGCGCCCCCAACCCCAAACCTGCCCTCGGATATCTCTGCCAAAGATCACAACAGTGTGGGAAAGTCAAATGCGGCTCCTCTTCAGGAAAGGTGGGGAACACTCCCCCGGACAGTTGGGTGGCCCTTCCTGGCTTTCTGCTCTGTCCAGATGGGGGGTCTGCTGAGCAGACCCTGTCGGGGGGGCCACTCTGAAAATAGCTGGAATGTCCTGAAGCCACACGGCAGGTACCTATGCCTCCGGGTGAGATGCCATACAGCTCACAGACTGGACACATCTGTTTCCCAATTGACATGGCTTAGCTTGGCAAAGCTGTGTTTTATTTGGGTTCGTCCCTGTCAGCCTGAGCATTTGTTTCCAAGAACATTTGTCATCTGCAAGTATTCCACAATGGAAAACATTTTCCTCAGCTATTATCATAGGAGGGTTTTGTTCGAGGGCTGTTGAAACAACCAGGTGTTTCTGGAGGTGGCCCAAAGCCCTCATTTGTATTCGTGTGAGTGGCCCTGTCAACCAGTAATTCTCTCCATTTTACAAATTGAAAAATAGTATTCAGGTGACACGGGCACCCAGATTAGGCCTCTCCTACTTCTCCCAGGTTTGGGGGCAGTGATGGCTCTCTTCTGACTGGAGCTCTTGTCCCTGTTAATGTCCCAGATGATGAGCCGTCTCACTTTGAGAAACAGTTTCGGGCTCTTTGGATCCTGGGGAAGTTATAGTGCTTGGGTGGAGCTGGGAGATGAAAGTGCCTGAAATTAGAGACGAGAACTCAGTGCCTTGGGGATTTTGTTCGTCCCCAGCTCTCTGCTCGGCCTTAGGCCCTGCTTTATGGAACTGGGGACCTTTTTTACCATATAAGAGAAGATCATCTGGCTCTCCAGGGTGCCTACAGGATTGTGTGTAAGGACATGTGATAAATATGCCCATTTTTCTTTCCCTTGTGAACAAGGTGGACTTCTGGCGAGGCCCAGCCAGGCCCAGCCTCCCTGTGGATATGAGAGTTCCTTTCTCTGAACTGACAGACGTCAAAGCTTATCTGGGATCTCACGGCCTTGCTTACAGCATCATGATAAAGGACGTCCAGGTGAGGTCATGCCCCAGCGCTGCAGCTGGGGGCTCATCTTCCACACACCTTTCTGGTTTGGGCCCAACATGGAGGAGAAAGATCCAGGGCTACAATGGACGTCTTGTTTCTGGAGTTCCACCTGATTTTTGTGAACCAGCTGTGGAAGGAGTGGAACCTCACACTTCTCAGAGAAAATTTAAATCTAAGACAGAGCTCACGGGGGAGAAGTGCTCATAGTGTGGTAACAGGGTCACTTGTGGATGGGTCCTCCTAGAGAGGATTTGCGGCTCACGGCCAAGGAGGAGATGGGGAGAAGGAAGACGGGAGGACAGAGCAGAGGCCTGTTCCAGGGGCCGTGCAGAGGCAGCTCTGGATGGCCTCCTCTGCGTTTCCGACTGCTCCCTCCTGTGCTGTGTGTCTTGGCCATCCAGGGAATTCCTTCCCTCTAGAGGAGCAGGAAGCGGTGAGAGAAGCTGCGTGTGAGCCCTGCTGTTTCCCTCACTAGGCACCCCTCCCAGGCAGAACTCTCCCAGAGGAACAGCTTCAGGAGAAGGGGCTGCAGACCCGCCGTCGGGTAGGGCGAAGAGAGACTTCGTCCCAGGCACCCCAATCTCCTCACCCGCCTTGTTGCTGCACCTTACAGCGTCTCTTCTGGACATGTGAAATTCTATTTCAATTGTTCTGTCTTCAAGGATAGCCCAAGGGGCCTCCTTCCTAAAGTGACTCTTTTGGGTACCACTCCTTGGTTAGGCCTCTCTGGCTGCGCCCCTCTGCAGATGCTGTTGTGTACCTGTAGAATGATATCCACAAAGGTTCATTCCCAACCACGTTGTATTGCGGCTAATCTCCTCTAAGGGCTCTGAGTGTGGGAACGCAGTCTCCCGGGGCGCACACACTTGACACCACATGCCAGGGGATAAACGCATTAGGCGGCATTCCTTTCTCATGCAGGCACAGGGCTGGGCCACTCAGGTCCATTCAAAGACCTTTATCCCTCATCAGGCACATCTGTTTCCCCGCTCAACATGGGGGTGGGGAGTGGTGGGCTATTTCTCTAATTAAATCCCCCCAAACAAAAATGGGGGAACTCCCCACAGACAAGAGAGGCCACCACCGCAAAAGAGATAGAACTCCTTTCTCGTTTTTAGCCCATGCCTGCATTGTGAAGTCTGCATTTCCCTGCTTCTGCCGCACCCTGGAAACTTCACAGCATTTGGCCAACAGATATCAAGAGGTCTCCCAAAATTTTCTGTTGATTTCTGCATATCAAGAAGGCCCTGGAGGCACCCCTGAGCCTGGCTCCCCTAGAGTTGGTCATCTGCCTTCTCCTTGGCCTGTCCTCTCTTGTCGTCCTCAGCCCTGCAATTGCTCTGGGGGTTTTCACTCCCTCTCATTTACTGGACTCTCTCGGCCTTCACCCAGCTAGGCGGGATTTTCACCAGCAACTCAATCTGTCTGCAACGCGTCAAGCTCTGATTGTCACACTTGGGATCACATTTTAGCTTCAAGGGCCCTGGGAGAGGGCGAGGCTGCTGCGCTGAGTTGATTTGTGGTGATGATAAGGGACAGTGTCCAGGAGGAGGAAAGCTCAGAGCCGCTAACAGGAGGGGAAGGGCTTTGCCCCCCTCGGGTCGTTGGCCTCCAGTTTTGTGTTTTAGTTATTGACGCTCAGGCCCGATTTCTCCCTGTCTTCTGGTTCTTCTCAGCTCCAGTATTTGGCATAGTGTCTCCTGCCTGGTGGGCCCTCGACAACTGTCCACTGAATGAATTACTCTGCTGGCAGATTCAGGAGGAGGATGCCCAGAGGGAGACCTTACAATATGTTGGTCTTTATCTCCAGAGCCCCCTCCCCGAGCCCCTCAAGATCCAGGATCATGCCCCTTATCCATCTTTCCACCCCAGCACCTACGATAGGATCTGCTACTTAGTTGCGGCCTAATAAGTGTTAGTTGAATTAATAGACGTGAGAAGGAAAGGAGGGAGGAGAGGGTGTGTTTGCTTGATACTACAAGGCTGAGAGGGAGCGTGAAAACCCTTGGTGCTGCCTTTCCCTTTGGCCAGAGGCCCCCGAGATTTTTGAGGAAAGGACGCGCACCTCCGCCCCCCTGCCCTGTGACCAGAGGGATGTTTGAGATGGAAGAGGTGGGTTCATTCCCTCCACCCACAGATACAGAGATACCTACTGTGTGCTGGGCATTGGGCCAGGGGCTGGAAATACAAAGATAAGAAATCTGGCCCCTGTATCTAGGGGAGCTGGAGCATCGTGGGGCTGGAGAGCGAGGGGAGTAAATCAGTGATTACAATGGAGTGGATGAGTGCGCTGATGGAGTGGAGCAGGTTGCTATGGGAGCGAGTACAAGAGGCACTGCTTGTCTCTGCTCTGAGAAGGCAGTAATTACGGTGCGGCTGAAGAGCGGGCGAGGGGGGGACGGTGGAGGGGAAGGGCCCACCCCCCACCCCGCTTTGAGATGAGGCTGAACCAGATCACAAAGGGCATGCTCCACCGGGTCAAGAGGTCGAGATTTTGTCCCCAAAACTGCCAGGGAGCCATGGGAGGGCTCTGTCATGATCAAATTTGCATTGAAGAAAAATCCCTCTGACGGTGACAATGCAGAATTGGGGACAGGAGCAGGGAGAGACTGACAGACAGGAAGGTGGTGAGGAAATTGCAGTGGGCCAGGCAAGAAATTATCTGATTCCGAGTGAGCTCTATTTGCATTTAATTTTTCTTCACCTCCTTGTTCTTTTCAGCCATTTGGTTTTTGTGGTTTTTTCCCTGGGATGAGGCACCGTGGAAAGGCTTCACTTGAGCAATCAGCTCTGTGGATTTTAATAGCTTTTTCTGATTACAAAATTAATAAATATTCATGTTAGATAATTTGGAAAATAGGGGAAAGCACAAAGGAGAAAACAAAAATCACCCATGCTCTGAGCATCTAGAGCAAAATACAATTTAGTGTAAATATTGCTTTGCCAATTTTCCCCCTCTCTCCTGGGTCATTCCCATTAGCATAGAAATACAGAGCTATTTGTCTCATCTTAAAAAAAATCCTCTCTTGATCCTTCCCCCAGCTATCACCCCATTTCTCTGCTTCCCCACAGAGCAAAACTCCTGAAAATGTTGACTATCCTTGCCATCTCCATCCCTCTCCTCGGACAGACTGTCCACCCCTCGCTTCACCAAACTGCCCTTGACAATGTCACACACATCTCCTAGGTCCACCTCCATGGTCAACTCTGAGTGCTCATCGTTCTTTTGTCTTTTAGCACAACTGCTGGCTCTCTCCTCGTTGAGATGGGCCTCTTCTTCTGGCTTCCAGGACACCATGCTCTCCTGGGTTATCTCATCTTACCGGCTGCTCCTTTGCATATTGTTTTCCTGTTTCCCAGCTCTGTCCTTGGACTTCTCCCCTATTCCCCCATACAGGATCATGGTGTGGAAATACCTTCAGCCTCCTTAGTGCTCCCATATTTCTAGCTCCAGCCAGACGCACATATCCGACCTGAACTGCTCTTTTCGGAGTTCGGGGGGAATTCAGATTCCCTGGTCATGCCTTGTAATGATTGTTCCATCAGAGAGTCCTGGAGTCACCCCAAGGGTTACAATTGTTGTCCTGTCATTGTCATCATCATCATAGCTGGCGTTTACTACATGCTAGGCAACTTTCTAAGCATTTTGTATGTATTAATGCTTCAAATCCTCACGAGAACGCTTTGAAGTATGTGCTAAAGTGTGTGATCACATGACCCCCATTTTATGAAGGCCCAGGGAAATTAGTAATTTGCCCAAGTTAGTGACAGCGTCAGGATTTAATCTGAGGCAGCCTGGCTCCAGGCGCTGCACTCGTTGATCTTGTGCCATCTGCCTCCTCAGCAGTGGTCACTGTTGTTTGTGTGGTGTTTTAACTTTGCCTTTTGGGCAGTGAAGCGACGGTTCAGCCTTGAGCTCTGAGGGGGTCCGTTCTGACAACCCCATATCCATAGACACCCCCTACATCGTCATGGACTGTAGTTGCCACCAGCCGTACAGCTGCTACTGCGAACGTTAGGCCTGGAGAACAAGCCAGGGACATATGAGGCGAGGTGACTGCTGTTGTCACAGAGCAGGGGTTAGAGCCCATCTCCAGCTTTCACCGACTGTTTCTAGGAGCTGCATCCATCCTGCGTCGGTGGTTGGAGTTTTGCTGCTGACTGCCATTCCGTCTCCTCCCCTCCCCCATTCTGGAGATGCTGTTCTGTACTTAATATTCCCATCCTTCCTTACCCTGTCATAAATTAATTCACACCAAGGTATTACTTTCCCTGACAGGTTATGACTTCCAGGGAGGCAAATGGCTTACTTTTGAGTTGTGTTTTTCCCCCTGAGAAGGCTGACAGGGCTGTAATTAGGCATTCCTGAGCCTGTGGCAGGACTGCATTCTCAGTTCTCCCGTCCCCTTCCCTCAGCCCCTTGAAGGGAGCAAACATCTGTGTATTTTTCAAGCCAGGGTAGATTAATGTTCCTGGAATTGGGGCCCAGCTGTGAGGGCTGAGCATTCCCAATTTGTAAGCGGGTGTCGTATCCATTCACAGGGCTGGGAGGGGGTTTGGAAAGTTATTTGCAGTTTGGTGCTGACTTCCCATTTGCCTCCAAGCTGTTGTGTGGAACAAAGGACTGCCTCAAGGGAGCTGTCTTCTTGTGGGCGTCCCTGGGCTGTGTGGGAAGAACTGGGTCCTCCGGTCCTTTCTTCCCAATTTCTCCTCCCTGTCCTCAACTTTCACCCACCGCCTCAGGCCCTTCACCAGCCCCTAGGAAACTAGATATGTGTCCTCTGTAACTTCATTCCAGTGGGACCAGAGCGAGGACCAGACCGGGCCTGACTCTGGGGGCACTCTGGGTCCGGCCTGCCTGCAGCTGCTCGCCGCGCCTGGCAGTGCCCAGCCTACAGTGACCGGCACACATCGGTCATGGGGGCTGCTGAGATTTCCGTTGATTTCCTGGGAAGAAGCCAAATTCCTGTTGTGGTGCTCCGGCTGGTGAGGATCAGGGCTCCTCCAGCCATCTCCAACCCAACCAGCAACCCCAGCTTTGCCTGAGTGGGAACGTCCCCAGCCTAGCCAGTTCAGCTACAAAACATTGCAATTACAGTTGCCTAGCGTGTCAGTCGGTGCTCACAAGGAAAATAAAATGAGCCCCACACATCGATTTCTAGTCGCATTTTTAAATCTTTGAGCTTGAGGTTTGTGAGCAAGCTGACTGGGACAGCAGGATGAGCGAGTCACTGGGCAATGGCTTAGTCCAGGCAGGGGGCTCTCCTCCAGCCCCGGGACCGAAGACCCCATGGCTGCTTCGTTTTACCCATTAGGGCTCTCTGTTTTTGTTTTAGTATAATTTATTCGTTTAGAAGATCATACTTACTGAAGTAGTACAAGCACACTGCAAAAATGTAAAAATAGAGAACGGAAAAACATTGCTTAAAATCATAATCCTTCTATCCTAACAGGCATTGTTAGTATTTTAGTGTCTTGTTTTTATATGCCTGGGTACTTACTTTTTCATTATTTTAAAACACTTTTTAATTGCGAGAATAGTACAATAGGCTTTCCCCTGTTGTTAACATTTTGTATCATTTGCTTTCTCTCTTTCTATGTATACACACACACATCTGTATCTATATCTGTATCTTAATACACATATATAGATATGCATGTATACATATAACGTATGTATCTATATGTGTGTGTTTGTTATTATTGTTAGCCTTTAGTTTTTTTGGTTTTGGTTTTTTGCTGAGGAAGATTCACCCTTAGCTAACATCTTCCAATGTTGCCAATCTTCCTCTTTTTTTTGCTTGAGGAAGATTAGGCTTGAGCTAACATCTGTGCCAATCTTCCTCTACTTTATATGTGGGTCACTGCCACAGCATGGCTGATGAGTGGTATAGGTCTGTGACTGGGATCTGAACCTGTGAACCTGGGCCACTGAAGCAGAGTGCACCAAACTTAATCACCATCCCATGGGACCTGCCCCATTAGCCTTTAGTTTTGATAGCTAGCTAGCCTTAAGGAAGCCAAGGCTAGGAACCAGGACATCTGATTCTTATCTCACTTCTGGCCCTTGTTAACTTTGCCAGTAAGTCCTTCACCTCTCCAATCTGCTTAATCTCTAAAACACGAATAGTTAATTCCTGACTTATTATCTGGTCATCTGACCAGATCAACTGAGATAATGAGAATAAAGACGCCTGGTAAACTCAAAGACTCTGGCCTGAAGCAAGGCATCATCAAAACTTGTGACCCAGAGCTGCAAACTAGGGGTGACTTTGGATTGAGGTCCTAGGCTTTCCCAGCACCCTTTGTGGCAGAGGGGCCCAGGCACTTCTCATACTGAACAGTCAGCACTGAGTCCTGGAGTGCCTTGGCCCCTGGGTGCCAGCGTAAGGGTATGAGCTTGGGGTGAAGGGCACCTGCCCACCTCACTGAGTCCCAAACTGGGATGACTAACCCAACCCAGGTACTATACTGCCCTCTCTATGGTCAGTGGAAGTACCATGTGAAGACTGAGTGCCAACTCCAAGTTAATACCCAAGGATATTTCTTTTGGATCACCTATTCTTATATTTAAGAGGCAGTTAACATGGTGAGTGAAAGACTGTTGGAACATTAATAATAATGATTTGGATTGGCCTTGCTCACACCTGGCTTTCTGAACGGCTTGGACACCAATTGTCTAGACTACTTCCTGGGAGCAGAGTCGATGCTGGGGGTCAGGGGAGCCCTCTGCTCCCATAGGGAGTCAGTGCACATGGTTCAGCTTGGGCCTTGACTCCACAGAGTGTTCACAGAGGGCAAAAGCAATGTCGGCAGTAGACTGTGAGCATCTTTTCTGAAACACTATCATATCCATTACTACATCTTATCCTTTGAGATGGGCAAGGCAGGTATCACTGTCCCAATTTTCAAGCTGAGGAAACTAAGGCCAGGTTTCCACAGCAAGTTAGTGGCAGTGGCAGACTTAGAACGCAGCTCTCTGGACTCCTTGCCTTGTGCCCGTTTGAGAAATGGTGGCATGAATGCCAGCTTACCAAGCAGAAGAATCACCCGGCAACCTGGCATCTTCTCCTATTGCGCCACTCACCCTCATGGTGGCTCATTCTCCTGTGTCAGTGCTGTCTTTGTGCACAGCCAGCTGAGGCAGGGCTCAGAAGAGGTGTGGTGGGCCCGGCTCTCCTCTTCCCTTCCAATATGTGCTCCTGTCTCCTAGGTGCTGCTGGATGAGGAGAGAGAAGCCATGGCGAAATCCCGCCGGCTGGAGCGCAGCACCAATAGCTTCAGTTACTCCTCCTACCACACCCTGGAGGAGGTAGGTCTGCCTGGTCAAGCTCTGGGCTCTGTTGCCCCTTTGGGCACCTGGGATCTCCAGACTCATGCAGAGACTAGTCAAGGACTTTGGAGTCTATGGGACTGTGAGTTGAGGCTTGGGGAGTACAGAACAGACAGTGGGGGAAGGTCTGTTGGTGGACAGTCAGCTTCAAAGAGGTCCAGAAGCCAGGATTCAGATAGAGGGGACTGCAGTTCAATAGTACAGCCTATGGCATGTAGGGAACCAGAGTAAAGGGTCTGCTAGGCAGAACACTCAGGCAGGGACCTGTCATAGGCCAGAACAGGGCAGGTAGACACCTTCATATCCAACGCTCTGGCTGGGGATCCAGGGCTCTTGACATCTTCACAACCAGCCCTGGTGTTAAGTGGCCCCAGCTGTAGGTACTGGAGGGTAGAAGGGGCAGGAAGGCAGGCACATCGGACAGCCATTTTGTAGAATAAAAGAGTTGCCTTTACTTGGAAAAAATTCATGATCACATGTACAGCCAGCTAGGGCGGGTGTGCCTGATTGTGACTTGTCTATAGAGGAGAATATATAAGAGCATAGGGATGCCCAGTCCAGAAAGAAACTCAAGGTACAGGCTCCATTTCCATGTAAAGGATGTGATGTTATTGATATTTCCACTCTATTGTTATCATCATCACTCTTCCTATTTCACAAGGCCTGTAATAGAGGATTCATTTTCTTTCATATATTTGTTAATTCAGTTATGTGTATTGAAAGAATAAGAGAATGAATTAATAAAGTCCATCAGTATTTATTGATGTCAGGGATAAATAATCGTGCCTTCAAGGAGCTTAGAGTCTTAAAGGGGCAAGAAGACCAAAAATAACACTGCAAGGTCTATGACATCTGTCAAATGGATTGAACGGGCAAAGAGAATGGAGGCAAGAGAGAAAATTTCCAACCAGAGAGAGACTTGCAGGCCGACCCTGGGAACCGAGTAGGCTCAGCATATGCTGTTCTTCCAGGCAAAGGCTTAGCTCTGCCCAATGGTGAGAAGCCTGGGAATCTGGGCTGACCACAGCTTGTTACGTTAGGCCTGGAGGGCATCTTTGATTTTTGCAGTTCTTGATCTGGGTTCTTCTATATCCTCAAGGGAGGTGGGGAAGCATTAAGGTGGGTGGGATGGGGGAAGGAGAACATTTAGAGAAGTCCTAGGGTTCGTCCCCTCCCTGCTTGACTGCCCGTCTGATAAACTTCATTCCTTTCAGATATATAGCTGGATCGACAACTTTGTAACTGAGCATTCAGATATTGTCTCAAAAATTCGGATTGGCCACAGCTTTGAAAATCGGTCCATTCTTGTCCTGAAGGTAAAAGCTCATGGTGTTGACCGCTAGACTCTGCAGTGAGAATCTCTGGCATTGAGCTCATGTGGGGTTGTGGCTGGATGGGAGCTTTGGGGAGAGAGAAGATGTGCATACTCCTGTCCTGAGGTGACTTGCAAGCTGTGGGATTGTGGTGTTCAGGGACACACCCTTGTAAGTATGGCCAGGTGACATGTGGTGATCTGGCACATCCTGGATCAGGGAGGAGAGGGGAGGGTCCCTAAGGAGGGTCCCTGGACTGGGGGTGTGGGTGTGGGTGAGTCAGCATTCTTCCTGTTACCTTAGTCACTTCATCTGTTAAATGGGAAGAGAGGGACATGGAGCCTCATTTGTAAACGACTTAGGTCATCTGGCTCAAGCAGCCACACATAGGCCTGAGACTATGGGCCTGAGATTCACAGGGGCCACTGGCAACAGAGTTTGAGCAAACTTGGCAGCTGCAGTGCCCTTGGTAGTGAAGGAGACGGCATGAGTGCGAGTGTGGAGCCCGTGGAAAACAATTCTTGGCGTGTGTCTACAGGCACCCAGGAGCATGGACCACACTGGGCATTGGACATCCAGCTCTCAGAGAAGACAGGCGCTGCTGCTCTCAGCAATGCCCTGGGGACTCTGCTGAAGGGCCTGGTGGTCTCACCTGACTTGAGACTTGCCTTTTCCTGTTGCTGCTTCCATTCCCTCTGGGGGCTGTCTATGTTCTCTTTTTATATACGTAGTGCTTGCTCCTTGAAGTGTGGTCCTTGCACCAGCAGCAGCAGCAGCAGCCCTGGGGGCTTGTTAGAAATGCTGAGCCTCAGACGCCTCTCTAGACCTACTGAGTCAGAATCTGCATTTTACTAAGATCCTTAGGGGAGTCATGGGCCCTTTAAAGTTTGAGAAGCACTAGTCTAAGATACTTTCAAACCTGGGAGATTCTAGGCTTCTGGCTGGATCACTTTGCTCTCCAAGAGAATCACTGTGTCACCAGGGCTCCCACATGCATGCGCTTCATGGGCTCATGCACAGGTACCTGCACACACAGCCCCTCCCTCGGGCACATCTGGCGGCCTTCGCTATGCATCCGGGACCTCCTCACCAGCAGCTCAGGGACAGCCTTGCAGCTGTCTCGGTTCAAACTTGTTTGGATTCCTCCTTTTCCCAGTTCAGCACTGGAGGTTCTCAGCGCGGGGCCATCTGGATTGACACTGGAATTCACTCCCGGGAGTGGATCACCCATGCCACTGGCATCTGGACTGCCAAGAAGGTCAGCACGGACGACGGGGGCTGGTGCAGGGGGCAGGGGCTGCTCCACTGTGTAAGAGCATCTCTAGTTGAGAAATTATTCTTGGTTCCTTTAAACTCAGGGTGCTGTCTGCCCTCCTGCCTTTTGGAACAGCTGCCACGTGCTCTGGCCTTTTGCAGCACAGAGCCCATATCTACCTTCTGCCTTCCAGTTGTTTAAAACCCAGGTCTTCGTTTCTGCACAAAGGATGTACCTGATGGCCTGATGCCACCTCTGCCTGCAGCCAATGGTCGTGCAAATGTCCTGCTCCACCTCGGAGGAGAGCCCAGCAGGGTCTTGCATCCCTCACCCTGTACCCACTCTGCCCTTTCTTGCAGATTGTCAGTGAATATGGCAAAGACCGCAGCCTGACGAACATATTGAACGCCATGGACATCTTCATGGAGATCGTCACCAACCCCGATGGGTTTGCTTTTACCCACAGCATGGTGAGGACACCTTGGAGGGAGGAGGTCAGGGGTCAGCTCTGGGGGTTTGGAGGAAAGGTCACTGCAGCTTTGGGAAGCTGGGCTGAGGTTCCCTGGGAACCAGCCCCTCAGGGGCTCCCTACGGAGAGTCTCACTGAGGCAGGTGGGCTGCTAGGTACTGAAGCTGCGACTCTCGCCTTCTGGCCTCCCTCCTGCTGCCCCAGGAAGGCCACTGCTGGCTGCCTGTGCTCAGGCCTCTCCCCACACCCCAGCTTTAACCATAAAGTGTCTGACCTGCAGCCTTGGCCCAGCCCCATGCCGGCCCCATCCTGCCCTAGAGATTCCTTCCCTTTGCCCCTCCCGGGCCCAGCAGACCCCCCTTCCTAGGCCAGGATGTCAGCGGTTCCCACCCCTGGGAATGGGCCCAGGGAATGACGGCACCTGACCTGGCCTTTCTCAGAACCGCTTGTGGCGGAAGAACAAGTCCACCAGACCCGGAAGTTTCTGCATTGGTGTGGACCTTAACAGGAACTGGAAGTCAGGCTTCGGAGGTATGGCAGTCTACTGGGCCGGGGGCAGGGCTGGAGGAGGACTTGTGGGTCCTTGGCACATTCTCCCACACAGTCAGATTAGGTTGACTCATAGCTTGGGAGGCAAGGGAGTTAGCTAACGCAAGTGAGTCATGGCCAGGGACAGGCAAGCACGTGCCTCGATTGGCCGTGGGATATGGGGAGAGGCTGTACATGTGTGTTACATGTGTACATATGCTAAGCGTTTATGGGAAACAGCTCCTTGCTTGGGGATGCACTGCAAGGATCGAATCTTCAATATGGTGGAGAAGGGCTTGGGGTAGTCTAGCTGGTTGCTCAAAACTCAGAGTTTATGTGCCCCCAAAATATCCCTACCCCTTCCTTGAAGGGAACATGTCAGAAGAAAATACCTCTGAGCTCGTTCCCTGAGAGCTGTGACCTGATATTTGCCCTTTGAGGAGGCCAGAATGATACTTCACTTATAGAGTAAGCCGGTTCCCTATCATCGACATTGACTCGAGCCTGGTTTTTATTTTTGACTCAGGTACTTTGTAACCCTGGGCTGATGGGCTGGTGCATATCTGCAGGGCTGTATGATTCCAGGGAGGGGCGGGCAGCTTCCTCCCAGTTCCTTGATGTTCTTCCCTGGTTATTTCCCTTATCATGCAAGGGGCACAGGGACTAGATGGGGAAAATGAGACTTCCAGATAGCCCAGAGATGCGCACGTGGACCTCGGGAACGTGGCAATTTGATGGGTGGGATGCTGGGTGTAGCCAGGACAGTCTGCAGAGTGGAGGGTTGCATGGGCACAGCCCTCAGCCCCCAGATGTGGCATCCACTCTGTACTGTGGGATTGGGGTTTGGCTCCACAGGAGACGGTGCCATTGCTGTTGAAAAGCAGATCCACAGACGGGTGGCCAAACCAACAAGATAGAACATTCTAGATCTGGATGCCTATTGCTTTGAAAATCTGGCTTCTTTGGGTCTGTTGTCATTGAAAACTAATGACAGCTCTGAAGTGTCTGGAGCGAGGCCCCCAGCCCACAGTGTCGGGGTTGCCTGAGAGTCTGGGCTGTGTGTGTAACGCGTGTGTAAGGGAACACGACCCCATAAAATTAGGTGATTCTACCTCCAAATGACCAGATGCTCGCCCCAGGTGGGCATCCACATGGGCCCCTCAGAACCGGTTGAAGTCAGTGCCCATGGAACATGAGCTGGACGGGCTGGTAGAAAGACAAATTACCTCTTAAAGAAAATAACTTTTATGGGTTTCGTTGCAGGAAAAAAAGATCAGTATATACACAATGGAAAAAAAAGGAAGCCCAGGGGGGACAAAACACTCCCATAATCCCACTACTCAAAGATTACTGCTTTTAATAATTTACCGTGTCCTTCTAGAGATTTCCCCTTGCTACAAATTACATTTTTAGAGGAGGAAAAATAAATAGCTAATGAATCCATTAGCAGGTACTTGTGAAACAGGCAGGCTCAGAGGACTCTGTGAACGTCAGAGAGAGGCAGGCAGCTAATTCCCATTTGGTCAGAGGAAGATTAGTTTATTCTGCTTAGCTCAAACCAGAACTAATGGCCTGAAGTGTTTCTCCATATTTGGGCAAAGCCACCTGGTCGTTGGCAGGGGAACCGCTCTCCCTGCGTGGGCTGCAAACGCAGACAAAGCTTTCAGCCTCCCCCACTCTGCTCATCTGTTGCTATTTGTCATTCATCAAGTGTAGCAGGTGCAGAAGCTCCCGGCAGACGCAAGAAACAGGACCACCATTAGCTGGGCCCACTCCAGCCTGTGGGGCTGCTCCTCACCCTCTTGCTCCCTGCAGCCACATCCCCTTCTAACCAGGGTCCTCACCTCAGATGAGGTGCCACAGACCAGGAGGGGATGTGCTCCCTGCTCCCCAGTGCATTGCTTCTGGGCCTGCCTGCGGTCAGACGTAGCGTGTGTCTGGGTTGGTGACTCAGGCAGGAAGATTTTGTTTATGGTTTTATTATTGCCTTAATTTAATTGCTGTGTAATGAGTAATCTGTAGATCATCCCTCCCACCCATGCCACCCTCACCTGTACTTTTGGGAAGGACCAGTTTGCTGCAGTCCTAGAGCAGCATCTGAGCTGGTCCATGAGCCAGCCCCTCAGCTCTCCAGCCAGCCAACTGCCCTGGAGCCCAAGAGGGTGCCCTGTGATCCTTAGGAGGCTTCTGAAGTTGGGCCGATCCCTGGCCTCTGAACTGGGTTTGTGTGTAATTTCTGGGAGGAAGAACGAGAAGAAGAACTGGGATGGCTGTTTCCCAATATATCCTTAACCTACAAATCTTGACCAGCTCAGCCTAGCTCTCCACAACATGGCCCTTGGGGCGGGGAGGAAAACAGAAGAAGAGGGGACGAGGAAGAAAAGAGACAGAGAGCAAAGAATCCAGGAGGAGATGGGAACACATTAAATTTGTGGAAAAAATAGAAGCACAGCTTCTCTTTATCCTCTCCCCCAATTTAGGTCCCCAAGAAGAATTTTCAAAGACCTCTGTATTTGTGGTTCCCAGAGCAGTCTAGGGCAACTATGGGGATATCTGTTCTCTCTTTTCCTGGCCACAAGTCCTTGTTGCTCCCGGGGCCACGGCTGTGACAAAGCTTGAGCAGATGCTAAGTCCAAGTACTCAAGTGACGCTGAACCCAAGCCTTCCACATGGCCATAGAGGGTCCACAGGGAAGGGTCAGCTCAAAGGGGTCACTGCTCATAGGGGAAGCTGGAGTTGCTGGGGAGACCTAGAGTTTCCTGTGGGGGCAATGCTCAAACAGGCTTGCCTTTCTAATGGAACCAGAGTTGGAACAACCAAAGGACAAGCCAAGGGAGCTCCCCAAAGGGCCACAGAATTGCTGAGTCGTGGGGTGGCTACACTCCTCTGATGTGTTAGACTAGGGTATGCAGTAGTAACAAATACCCCTTCAAATCGCACTGGCTTAACACAATAAAAGTTTATTTTACATGCACACAAAGTCCAATGCGGGTAAACTCTCCTTGACAGCTCTCTTCCAACAGTGACAGAAGGATCCAGGATACTTCCTCCATCTAGAATCTTTTGCTTGCAACCACACGAACAGAAGAGAGTGAGGAGAAGTCATGCTTCCTCTAGATAGCCTTGCACTAGAAGTGACACATCATTTCTGCTCACATTCTCATTGGTCAGAAGTAGTCACATGGCCTCAAACTGCAAAGGAGACTGGGAAATGTAGGGGAACACATGGATATTTTGTGAGCACAAAGTATCTTCTCTAAACCTGGAAATCCTAACCCTCTGGGTGGTTTTATTTAACTTCCAGGAAATGGTTCTAACAACAACCCCTGCTCAGAGACTTATCGTGGGCCCTCCCCTCAGTCAGAGCCAGAGGTGGCTGCCATTGTGGACTTCATCACGGCCCATGGGAACATCAAGGCTCTGATCTCCATCCACAGCTACTCTCAGATGCTCATGTACCCTTATGGCCACTCACTGGAGCCTGTTTCAAACCAGAAGGAGCTGGTGAGATTGGCAGCTTAGTGTTTAGGGGAGGCATCCAGCAGACTCCCAAAGGGTTCAGACCCTCACTTTGAAAACAAGGATCTGGACCAAGAGACCCCATGGTAGGGAGGAGGGGGAGCTTGTTGTTCTCACCTGTGATCAAGTTCAAAGTCGGAGGTGCTGTGCTCCCTCATCATGAGAGCCATCTACACGTTCAACTTCCAGGACTCCTAAGTCCCTGCTTCTCAGCAGTTGGTGAGGGAGCGGGATGTGGGGAACCCCAGCCTCTCACCCTCTGGATGTAATCTTGCAGTCCAAACTTGCCAAGGACGCGGTACGGGCCCTATCTGAGGTCCATGGGATCCAGTACATCTATGGCAGCATCAGCACCACCCTCTGTGAGTGAGCCTTCCCCTGGCCTCTGCTTCAGGCTCCACCTGCACCCAGGGTTGGGTGGGTGCAGGCTCTTTGCTGACTGGCAGGCCTGGTTAGCCACAGGGCAGTGCCATGGATCCTGCTGGGCTGGACCAGAGCTGATTCCCACATCTGGATAGAAGGGTGGATGGTGGTACCCAGAAACAGGCAGCTGTTTCTTTGCAGCATTAATTAATGCACAGCTCCCAATGCCTGGCTTACTGCTAAGTACCTTGAGGGGAAAGATGCTCAGTCTGGTGGCTTCAAGGAGCTTTCTTTTTGCTGGGACAGAGCATGCGCTGAGTGGGCAGGGTGTGGCTCAGATTGAGGCCTGGGCTAGGAAGCTTGGTGTGGTCTGGGGCGGGTGGGGGTTTGGCCCTCAGGGCCCACTTTCCACTCAGGATGCCTCTGTACCTTGTGGCCACACCCTGTTCTTCCTCCCGGGGTCATTTCTTTGCCCTACTGTTTCCAGATGTGGCCAGCGGGATCACCGTGGACTGGGCCTATGACAACGGTATCAAGTACTCCTTCAGCTTCGAGCTCCGGGATACTGGGCACTATGGCTTCCTGCTGCCAGCCTCACAGATCATCCCTACGGCCCAGGAGACGTGGATGGCGATTCGGACCATCATGGAGCACACTCAGAACCACCCCTACTAGCAACGCTACAGATCGGGAGGGTTTGTCCTCCTCCCCAAGGCCTGGGGTCCCTCCTGAAACCCAAGTTATGCATTCCCCTGCCCACCCCCCTGCCCTGACCCCTTAGGAAATAAAAACAAGTTTGAACAGGCTTGGGGGCCTCTGGCACTGGCTGCCACCCCTTTGGGCTCAGCATTGAGGAAGGGACAGACGCAGCTTGAAATACCTTTTGCTCCCCAGGTTTTCAGGAGGATGAGGTTAGCAGGTCTTGCCATTTCTCCTCTTGCGGGTTCTCACGGCCTAGAACAGATAACTCACCCTCTGGGAGCTACTAATATACACATTGTCCCCACAGTCTTTTACATTGTAAGATGACCCTGGAGGGGACACTGTTTGATCTAAAGGAGTGGATCTCTTGTGGTGGCATTTCTGGGACCTTGAGGGAGAGGTGGGTACCAACAGGCAGCCTCTGCCCCTTCCTGCTTCGTTTCCCATGCAGGGGAGGGAGCAGAGGCACATTTCAGAGGCCCCCACTCACCCTGTAAACAAGTGAACCAGTCACGGGTTTGTGACCTGTTCCTCCTGGGCGTCCTCGCAGGCTCCACTGGTCTTGGGAGCACAGTCTCAGCCTGTCAGAGCCAGCGTAGCAAAGCACCACACATCCAGGGAGAGGAAAGTCTCCTGTTCCTCACCATAGTTGTCACGGTTGTCAGGCACTGAGCAGTTACTCCAGGCCAGGCCATGCAGTAATAAGCACTTCATCTAAGCAAGAGAAAGGAGCGCTATTCTGAGACACTAATGAGGAGCCTTCCCCCATCCTCAGGCTTCCTTGTACCTTTTGCCTTCCTCCACCACTGGGGAGCAGGGATAGTGGGTCTGTCTGCCCTGCCCTCAGGGGAAGGCAGGTACCTCCAAGAAGAAAGAACAACTGGAGAGCCGAATTAAGTTTGAGGCAGAAGCAAGACTCATTTGCAAAGGCCAGACTTTTGTTGTTGCTATTCTTGCAAAAGAAAAGGGTTGTGGGTAGCTGTGAGTCAGCCCCCGCAGGACACAGAGCACAGGGTCTTACTGCAAATCACAGACAGGGAAGAAAGCAGGGTAAAATAAAAACAAGCCCCCCTTATACTCAACCTGTAAAGGGAGACAGAGGTTGGACCAGTGAGCAGAAGGAGGAGATCAACGATGGTCAAGACCCCAGGTAAGGCCCGTGTCCAGTATGGCGCCTGAGCAGCAGATTAACAATGGCTGAGCGAGGGGTCTGGGCAGGTGATTAGAGGCAGCCATATGGATGGGTGCACCACAGCGGTACAGCTCTTGAGAGCTCTGAACAAAGAAATGAGAAGGTTGGCGGCTGAGGAGGCCTCGGGTAGAGGCAAAAAGGCTGAGCCTAGGGGCCATGCAGCCAGTGGCCGTGGTGGCACAGTGGGCATTGACTGGGAACACCTATGCCCAGAACCAGCTGTGCCATGTGGAAGGCCTGAGGAAAGCAGGATGTTGAACCCCTGAAGAACCCAAAGGGGAAGAGCCAAGGACGGAGGAGGAGAAAATCCCTCTGCAGTCTGCAGCTTCCCAAAAGAGACTGAGTTTTTTTTAAAGCTGGAAGTGGTCTGAGTGAGCTAGAATTTCCAAGCTGAAGTTTTCTGCTATTAGCGGAAATACCAGGTCACGGGCTAAGTTAATAGAAGCTGTAGATAAATAAAGCAAGTTATACCTTCACACACTGGAGTCTGTGATTATAACTTTTATGCTCTCTGCACAAATATTTTTATTTCATCCTCATGGGGAGGATGTTACTGGTATCAATAAGCTCATTTTTCAGATAAGGAAAGCACGATTTGGAGAGGTTTTAAAGGCCGCGCAAGGCCAAGTGGATGGGAAGTTGCTGAGGTAGACTTGAGCTTGGGTTTGGCTAACTCCCAAACCTGTGTTACCATTTGTCTGAGTGTGGCCGTGGCCGCACCTGCAGCAGAATCCACGGGGGGTCATTTAACATGAAGATACATGGGTTCCATCCCCAGACGGAAGCAGATCTCTGGGGTTGACCCCCACATCTGCATTTTTACCATCTGTCCTGGGAGTTCGGAAGTCCTTACAAGCTGACAACCTCTGATCCCTGCTCTCCTCCCTCCCAGAGGGAACACACTCGAGTCTTCCAGGGGGCGTTGGGGCTTTGGGTCTCCCACCCTCTGCCATTGTCCAGTAGGGCTGAAGGTAGCTACAACAGCAGGAGGCCAGTCATCCTTCTCCAAAATATTCCCGAGGGGCCACCTTGATCCTGGCCTAATGCAGTGTGGTCTGCAGACCACAGCATCAGCGTCAATGGGGAGCTTGCTGGAAACGCAAATTCTTGGGCCCCCCCTAGACCCGCTGAATCAGAAGTTCTGGGGATGGGACCCGTGTGATTCTAATGCCAAGCTGGAGAAGCACTGGCCTAGAGGCAGGAATATCTGGACACTGGTGGGTTTCCCAGTAACAGTGAAAATAATACACTCTTTTCTAGTACTTACTATGTGCCAGGCATGGTTCCGAGTAGGACACACCACATTGCTTCCTCCTAGCTCTAAGAGGTAGGCCTATTAGTGTCCTTATTTTCAGAGGAGGAAGCTCAGGCTCAGAGAGGATGGTGGTTGAAGGGCACATGGCTCCTGAGTGGCAGGGCTGGGACCAGCCTTCAGGCGACCGTTCATCATCTGCCTCCAGAACCTGAACTTGAGTCACAGCCAAAGGCCCTCAGAACCAGGGGCCGGGAACTTGTTGGCAAGATCTCTGTGTTGCCAGCAGAGGTGAGTCTAAGCTGCTTTCCAGATGGGGGTCTTCTCGAAAGGCAACTTTCCTCTTAAAACCCTTCAGTGACTTAAACCCCGCGAAGGCGCTCCATGATCAGCCCCGCTTACCTCTCCCACATTGTTTCAATACTTCTCGCCCCCTCACTCACCAGCCCAGCCTCACTGGCTTCTTCTCCGTTCCTTCAGGACGAAAGCCCCTTCCAAACTACAGGGCTTGGCATGTGCTGCTCCTTCTGTTCTGGAACATTCTTTCCTTCCACTCTTCCTGGAAATGGCCCAGTCCTTAAATTTTCCCCTTCAATAGCATTTTCTCACTGGTCCTTCTAGGACCATCCATTGGAAGTAGATCTTCTGTTATTCTCTTTTCCAAGGCCTTATTTATTTCCTTGATAACAATGATGATTAGTTGACTTCCTTGTTTATTTGTTGTTGTTTGCCTCTGCCACTAGTTTGAGAGCTCGTGAGGGTAGGGACCATGTCTGGATTATCACCCTTACTCAGTTCCTGTCAGGCGCACAGTAGGTACTCAATGTTAGTTGAAGGAGTGTTTCTCCTCTTCAGCCTAGTACAAGTTAGGACTAGGTTTAGCATTATGTGACAGAAACCCACCTTACGGTGGCCTAACCAGATCAGGATTTTATTTCTGTCATGTAAGAGGAAGTCGTCTGAGGTGAGCAGCCCAGGGCTAGTTCAGTGACTCCTTGGTGCTTTGGGGACCCGGATCCCTCTGATCTGTTCTGCTTTGTTGCTGTGCCATCATTTTGACCCCTTGTCTCCATCATATGACTGAATTCCATGCAGGAAGGACAAGGGGTAAAAAATATGGCCCATCCATGGACTTCAGCTTATATCTTATTGGCTGGGACTGTCAGGTGGCCATGCCCAGCTGCAAAGGAGGCTGGGAAATTGCTCTATAGCTGGGCGCATCACTGCTGCAAATAAAATTAGAGTTCTGTCGGTAAGGAGGAAGGAGAGAATGAATATTGGGAAGGCAGCCAGTGGAGTCTGCTGCAGCTTCTCTGAGCGGGGAAAGGATCTGAAGGGGCCTCTGAATCCGTTTTTTTTGCTCTGGTTCATCAAGTGACTGACTTAATCACACAGCCACAGAACTTCCCAAAAGAACGTTCCTTTAAAAGCTTCTAGTCCAACTCCCTTATTTTCAGTTACAAAGATTGGGGGCCTCTGCGTCACCTGAACTGCGCAAGGCCCCACATGAACCTAAAGGCCCAGAGAAGACCAAAGCCAGGGGTCTTCCTCCTGGACCGAGGGGTCATCTCACCAAGCCCAGGGAGGTGATGGCTGGAGGGTTAAGTTTATCAAATAAAAGCTCAAGACTGAGACGTGCAAGTTTTAGAGATATTATAATCTTCTGTTTTTCATAAAACCTGTACTTTTTTTTTTTCATTTTCCTAGGTATATAATGCTAAACAGGAATTCAGTTTTTCTACATTCTGGGGTTTTTTTTTTTCCTCCCAACAAACTGCTCTTTCTAGGTATGTTTTTTCATCCTTTTCACCAGGAAAATTTATGAGGATTTATTTAAAAGAAAAAAACATTGGAAAAGCTGAAGAGAGAAAGAACGATTATACATATGGAAAGCTAGAAAGAAGCCCAGTGAATGTTTGCGGTTATTGCCGTCTTAAAAAAACAAGCCAGGCAGGCGGCGTGGGATGTGAGAGTCCTGTGTGAGGGCAGGGCAGGCGCAGAGGCCCAGAGGATGGGCTGATGGCCGCGGTCCAGGGCGGCCGCTGAGGTGCCTGTCACGTCCCCTGTCCTCCTCCACCTCCCCTCTGACGGCTCCAGACAGAGCCAGAGAGAAAACGGCCTTACTGAAAAATAAAACCAAATCTTAAAAAGCTCCTTTAGAAAAATCAGAAGGCCCAGGCAGCCACTTAGTCTGGGCTGAGAGCGAATCCAGTGAACATGGGGCGCGTCAGGGCTTCAGAGACTGGGGGAGCCACCCCACGCCTCCAGCTTGGGGGCAAATGATGCCCTTGCTGCGGAGGCTGGTCCTGAAGGACAACTTCAGCCTGCTCAGCCTTTGGAGGGTCTCCTTCCCGGAGGAGCTGGGACAATCCTGGGGAATGAGAACTTGTTTGCAAACCCATTCATCTGGCTTGTCACTCCCTGGCCTCTTGCCTGGCCTCCTGCTCTCTCCTAACCAGCTGCGCCCAGCTCTGTGGCTCGCCATCCGCCCTCCTGCCCCTCAGCCGACCTCCCTCAGTTCCCCAAAGCATAGCTAAGACCGCAGGGCAACATGTCACAAAATTTTGCATGAGAATCCAGAAGGGTAACACAATGTAGAAAATAAAACACTTCAGTGGGACGCTGGAGAGCTCTGGAGTTGGTGGCTCATGTCCCTGCATGGGGTGACCCCTACCTCCTTCGCTCTCCTGGAGCCCCTGCCCACTCCCAGGTGGCTGGAGCGGCCTGTCCTGCCCCCCAAGTTTAGGGATGCCCCTCCAAGTGCTCCCCAGCTCCTCTCTCAGGTTCCGTGAGAAGCCAACCTCCCCTCCTCTACTTGTCCTTTTACAGTACTGGACATTCCTGTTTAGTTCCTCTTTCTTCCATGTCTCCCTTCTGAGATTTGGCCTCTGACTTGACATTTCTTAAAGACTCACTTCTCTCTTCAGGTGACTCTTCCTCCAGAGAAAAATTCTGCCTCCATTCTGGGGACAAACACCGCTAGCTACTTTAAAGTGACAATTGTACAGCTTCATAGCAAACATGCAAATATGCTCTCCTGGGAAAAACTCAAAAAGGCAGCTAGGGGGGCTGACCCTGTGGCATAGTGGTTAAGATTGGTGCGCTCCACTTTGGTCACCTGGGTTCACTGGTTCGGATCCCAGGTGCAGACCTACACCACTCATCAGCCATGCTGTGGTGGTGACCCGCATATAAAGTAGAGGAAGACTGGCACAGATGTTAGCTCAGGGCTAATCTTCTTCAGCAAAAAAAAAAGAAAGAAAGAAAGAAAGAAAAGAGGCCACTGACGGACCTTCTCCTCCCAGCCTTCCATGATGTCATCAAGCCCTGGGACCACCCCCTGCAGCCTCAGCAGGATGTGGCCACTCTCGACCTACCCTACCCTGGGAACACTTACCCATCACAAGCCCCAAGGCCCCTGTGGCTTTATTCTGATCGCTTCACAACCCTGGCAAGCCCAGACCTGTCACCACAATTGTGATTTGTTTGGGAGTGAAAAATACATGTCCTAGACTCTTTTTTTTTAAATTAAGATTTTGATAATTAACAACCTTGTGAAATTACATTTGTGCATTATTAGTCATGTTGTAAGTACATCACTTCACCCTTAGTGCCCTCCCCCCACCCCCCCTTTCCCCTGGTAACCACCAATCAGTTCTCTTTGTCTATATGTTAACTACCACCTATGAGTGGAGTCATACAGAGTTCGTCTTTCTCTGTCTGGCTTATTTCACTTAACATAATACCCTCAAGGTCTATCCATGTTGTTGTGAATGGGATGACTTTGTCCTTTTTTACGGCCGAGTAGTATTCCATTGTATATATATACCATATCTTCTTTATCCAATCATCAGTTGCTGGGCACTTAGGTTGGTTCCATATCTTGGCTGTTGTGATTAATGTTGCGATGAACATAGGGGTGCATGGGACTTTTGGAATTGCTGATTTCAGGTTCTTAGGATAGATACCCAGTAGTGGGATGGCTGGGTCATAAGGTATTTCTATTTTTAACTTTTTGAGAAATCTCCATACTGTTTTCCATAGTGGCTGCACCAGTTTGCATTCCCACCAACAGTGTATGAGGGTTCCTCTTTCTCCACACCCTCTCCAACATTTGTCACTCTTGGTTTTGGATATTTTTGCCATCTAACAGGTGTAAGGTGATATCTAAGTGTAGTTTTTTTGTCCTAAACTCTTAAAGTGTCACAGCTGG